TCGCGCCGTTCCTGTCTCCTACTGACTCATCTGCGTCCTCCATGTGTAGTTACACCTTCCCGCTGTCTTCTCCTTCTCCCGAGTCTACGGTCGGCTCCAATGGTAGCGCTTGTGTCTTCCCTGTGCTCTGACTTCTAGAAGTCCAACCGCTGTGTACTGGTGTTCTTGACAGGACACAAAACAAAGGCGGTCAACCCGAGCTATCAGCTATCAGCTATCAGCTATGAGCGGCGCCAACCGGCCGCCATCGCCGCTCCGTTCCTGCAACCCGGGGAAGCGGCGGGGATTCAACGATGTGGACGGTAGCGCCTCGGTAGGACGCGCGGGCAGAGCGCTTAGCGCCGGCCGGAGCGTTCCCTCGCGCCCTCCGCCCATTCGTTCTTTCCTTCTCTTTTTTCGCTTTTTTTTTTTCTTTTCCTTTTTTTTGGGGATCTTTTTCGCTTTTTAGAACGGTAGACGACCCGCACTTTTATCCTTTTCACATTCGGTGAGTGGCGCCGCGGGACCGTAGATAAATAGCTTTTTCAGGTTTTCATTTTCATTTCGTTAGTGGCATGGCGCGGCTGGGTCCAACTAAGGGGGCCCAGGTAAATGGCGCGGCTGGGTCCAACTAAGGGGGCCCAGATAATTCGAACTCAGGTCTGTATTTCAACAGTCCATATCATGGGGGTTTCTGGCGCGCATTCGTTTTCTCTGGCCAAGGCTGTCGATATTTTCTGTTCTGGTCCGCACCGCTCAGAAAGGTATAGGCAGGCGGAGGAGAGTCGAGTTGAGTTGCGTGCGAACGGCCGCGCGGAAGTGCACTCCTCTCGCTCTCTCTGCGGTGTTCTGCCTGAAGATGTGGAGATTTCCCTTCACACTCGGCCCAAGAGGTGAGTCCTCCGGGCGTGCCGAACACCGCACCCTCTCTCCCTCCCTCCCTCTCTCCTTCTCTGTCTGGCCCTCCCTCCCGCTCTCTCTCTTCCCTTCCCTCCCTCCTCTGTCTGCCCCTCCCTCCCTCCCTCCCTCCCTCTTCCTTCCTTCCTTCCCTCCGTCCTTCCATCCCTCCCTCTCTCTCTCTCTGTGGTGTTGTTCGAGAAGAGGTGGAGAGTTCCGTTCACACTGGGACCAGAAACGAAATACGGGGATTCGCCGGGCGTGCGCGAATTGCACACACACACACGCTCTCTCTCTCTCTCTCTCTCTCTCTCTCTCTCTCTCTCTCTCTCTCTCTCTCTCTCTCTCTCTCTCTCTCCTTTCCTCCCTCCGTCCCTCCCTCCCTCGTACTTCCCTCCATTCATCCATCAGTTTAGGGATGCAACTCCAATTTTTTTTTTTTTTTTTTTTTTTTTGTGGGAGTGCTATGTTTCAAATTGGATAGGATTTGTGCACGATAAGGAGTAGGCAGGGGTGAATGAACGTGGACAGGCAGGGGCAGAAGGAGCGCCAGGGGGAGGTCAAGTGACAAGGTGTGGAAGAGGAGATTGCAAGGCAGGATGAGGGGCTCAGAGCGCAAGGAGGGGAACAGGTTGTAAGGAAAGGGGAGAGCAGGATTATGACGAAGGGCCTGAATTACGGGAGGGATAGGGTACATGTGGATATGCAGGTGATGGAGGAGGAGAGCAACGAAGAGAGAAAGAGCGGCAGGCAAATGAAGAGAGGAAAGGACATAACGAGATCTGCAGGGGCCAAATCGAGTATTAGGGGAGCGGGCACTCAAAGAAGATCCCAACGGAGGAGCGAAAGGCGTGGAGAAAGACGGGGGGAGATTGGCGATAGGCGCAGCAGGACAAGGAG